AAGTCAAAATCAGCATATAAAAAGCCCCGCAAAACGCAGGGAGATGCGAAGCCAACACCAGTGTCCCGAGCAGCCCGGGCCTCACCCGTGTGCGCGGCTCTCACCAGCCGCCTCCTGTGCCTCGCTGTCCTCCCGCGTGTCGCTGGCGTCCTCACGAGCTCCAGATCCAAGTCCCAGCTCCTGATGTCAGGGGGGCGCTGGTCGGACTGGGCACATGGGGAGCTCTGCGCAGGCGAGGAGTCCGCCCGACTTGTGCTGAGGGGGTTGCTGGTGGGGCCGGCTCAGGCTTCCTGTCCCCGGCAGGGCAGCCGCAGGGTCGGCTCTGCGCGCGGGTCTCGCCCAGCGGCGGGCCTGGCAGAGCGTCCGTCCCTCGCCGGCCGCACAAACCCGGGACACGCAGCGCGTGGGGCTGCGCGGGTGGCGCTGCAGAGGCGAGCGCAGCTCTGCGGGCGACGTGTCGGCTGGGCGAGCGAGCGGCTCTACACGGAGCTGCTGCACAGAAAGCTGCAGGCTCGGGGCCCCGCGAGCTCCCCACGTCCCCGCGTGGGCGCAGGGGCGCGGCCGCAGCCCCTGCTGCTGCACGCCGTGTCCCGGGCCCTGCGCGCGGCCGCAGCGGCCCAAGCTGCTGCCGGGCGACACTGCGGCGTCGGCACCGGTGCCGTCACGGCCGGGGCTCCTCCGTCCCCTCCCKGCTTGCCGAGAAGAGAACAAAGTCAGGGCCAAGAGCAGCAACAACAGCCATCACCGCCACCACCACCAAAAGCAGTGTTGAAAAACTGAATCCAATAAAGAAAAATAAAAACAAATCAGAAAACCACATAAAAAACACCAAATGTGAGATCAAATGTAAGCCTAAAAAAACCCACTGAAAAGTATAGTCCAAAGTTAAGGTCAAAGATGTGTAACACAGAAGAAGTTCAATCACACTTACATAAATATAAGCATCACAAAACAGTGAAGTCAAAAMCAAGTCAAAAGCATCAAATGCATCACAAAGTGATGGAAAAAAGCATCACAAAATCACTAAGAGAATGAAGTCAAAAAAGGCATCAAAAACAATTGAAAAGGCATAGACAAAACCAGCATCAAAAAAGAACCACAAAAAGGCAAAAATAGCATGAAAAAGCATTCACAAATACAATGAAGACAAAGAACAGCATCATATCACAAAAGAAATGAAGTTGGAAAAGCATCAAATGACCACAAGACAGTGAATGCAAAAACACACCATCAAAGCCATTGCTTAACGCTTTTTTTTGACTCTTTTTTTGTAATCACAAAGAAGTGAGCTTAAAAAACACCACAAACCAAAGTCACCAAAAAGTTAATGCAATGGCATCAAAAAATGAAAGAACAAAAAAAAATAGAAAAAGAAGATGTCATTAAAGAAATAGAACTGAAAAGAAAAAAGAATGAGCATTTAACAGAAACACAGGAGGGGAATAAAAAAAAATAGCATAATTGACAACAAAGTCAAAAAGAGCGTTTATAAAAGCATCACAAAAAATGTGAATTCAAAGATTAGCATCAAAAAAGTCCTCCAAAAGCCAGTATCATAAAAAGGTCAGAAAATAAACCAGAAAAAAGAAAACGTCATAAAGAGAATTAACCGGCTCTGCCTGACAGGGCCGGGCGCCCGCGGCGCCCCCAGCTGCCCTGTGGGGCTGGAGGGCCAGGGACCCGCATGCGGAGCAGGGCCTTGCTCCTCGTGTCCCCCTTACCTGGGGTCCGTGCTCCTCGTGTTCCCTTTCCTTTACCTGGAGCGCCTTGCTCCTCGTGCGCCCCTTACCCGGCTCAGCTGTGTCCCCAGTGCCTCCACGCAGCAGCTCGGCCGCCAGCCCCTGCCGAGGCGGATCCGGACAGAGCCGAGTCCCCTTCAGCCGTCGTCATCTGCGCATTCCTGTCTGGCAGCTGTGAGGAAGAGAGCGGGATGAGCGCGGCCGGGGGCTTGGACATCCGAGCACGGGTGTCCAGCACGGGCAGCGCTGCCGGGGCCGGCGCTCGGGCCCGTCCCTCTGTGCCGGGCGCCCTGCGCTCGCGGCCGGGGCTGCCCCCGGGCCCCGCAGCAGGACGGCATCGTCAGCGGGCACGGAGCGGGTGGCACCTGTGCAGCACTCGGAGCGTTAATGCAACAGGAACTCGCTGCGTATCAGCCACACAGTGCAGGTTATTCAGCACTAAACGGGACACTAACAGGCAAGTTAGGACAGCGACCGATTCGGCYGCGCAGCCAAGGGGGCTGCAGCCCTGGACAGCGATCCCGGGGACCCGGCCGGACTCCCCCTGAAACAGAGCGACCACACGCAGCCCCTTGGCGCAGAGCCCGGAGCCTCCCCTGCCMCAAGCCCCTTTGCCAGGGGCCAACAGCCCCTGCCCAACGCACCGGGACCCTCAGAGGCGCAAGGCGCCTGTCGGGCCTCTCCCTCCTGCTCCCGGCTGTCCCCGACATCCGCTCCTCAGCTGCCAGGGGGCGACGCTCCGGCTCCCTCTACGCAGCAAATCCCGGTTCCTGAGGAGAAGTCCCCGTTCAGGGCCCCGTCCAGGGCCGCCCGCCGAGCTGCCCCCGCGCCGCGGCGAGGCACAAGGTCCGTCCGTGTCCCAGCTGCGCAGGGCCGAGCGGGACGGCGACTGACACCCACCTGGGCCCTCGCCGGCCTCTGTCCTGCCGGAGCCGTCCCCGTCTGCCCGGCCTCGCTCCTCCTCGGCCCGTCCCAAACGCGCTCCAGGCCAGCGGCCATCGGCACCCGTGCGTCCCTGTCCGGCAGCTGCAAGGAAGGGAGCCAAGAGAGCGGGACGAGCCTGGCTGGGGGCTCAGACATCCCGGTCCSTGAGCGGTTCCTGTCTGGGCTGGGACAGACATTACAAACGTGACCTAGGAGCCGCCCGGGACGCGATCTGTTTCCTCGGACCGGCTCGGACCCACATGCTGCGCATGGGGGAGCCCTCCCCACCTGCCCTGGGGCCGGTGCTGCCACGCGCAGCTCTGCAGGCGCCCATGGACAAGCCCCAGGGTGCTGCTGCCGCCGCCAGGCGTGGGGCAGAGGCCACTGCAGCTCCCAGCCAGCAGCAGCCTCCCAGTTGCCTCCCTGGGGCAGGAAAGGAGACCCCTTTCCCTAGGAACCGCCAGCAGCTGCAGCCAACACCAAACACCGGCACCTGAGCCCCCCCAGGCAAGAGCCACAGGCAGATCCCATTGCCAGGCACCCTCTCCCACCAGGTCTCCAGGTGCTTCCCATCACCCAGAATGAGCTGGGAACAGCAGCCCCTCTGCTCTCCYACCTGGAGTGGAGGCCTCTAGGAAGTCACTGCAGCCAGTCCGTGTGTCTATCCATGGTGCACAAAACCCTGGGAAAGCAGAAGGGTTTCCAGCAGCGTTTCCCATCCCAGGGCACACGGGACACTGCAGGGACGGGACCCAACGCACCCGGCCGGTCCCTGGGGCGCCGGCAGCCGGAGCCGCCCCCGGCAGCCCCACACATGGGGCAGCTCTCCGGGCCTGACTGCCCCCCGGCCCTCAACGCCCCCACGCGCCTGGGAGGAGGCACCAGGGCCGACCGGCATACCCGCTCAGGAGCTCCCCACGTGTTGCCCCCAGGGCAGGGCCCGTCCACATACTACACGCACCCCACATGCAGCCCCACATGCAGCCCCACCCGCACCGAGACACCAGGGCAGGTGTCCTCTGCTCGCCCAGTCCCAGCAGCGCCTGGACACCCAGCCACCCCACAGAGCCAGGAACCTCCCTCCAAGAGCCCCACCCGCCCCCTCCCTTCCCAACCAGCTGCCCCCCAATTAACTGCCACCAACTCCCAAACCAGCTGCAACCAATTCCCAAATCAGTGCCCAAGCCACAGTCCAGCCTGGGGATTCCCCCAAAATGCTCTGTACCCTGCCAAAAAAACACCACTAAGCAATCACCTGGGAGCCCCCCAAACCATCCTCCAGGGACTCCCAAAGTGCTCCCCCTTTTTAGCCCYCCCATGGAACCCCCAAAACAACCTCCAACAGGCCTCCAACCTGAGCAGGTGCCCCACAGAAACTCCCTCAAAGCCCTCTCAGCCCTGGGAAGGGCCCTCTCAAACCACACTACAGGGGGTGACCCCCACCCCCAAACTGCCATTACCCCAGGGAAGGGCCCCCAAAAGTTCCCCACCTCCCCCCCCAGAAGAGCCCAACTACCTCCCCAGGGATTTGTCCCCCTAAGGGCCACCCAAACCCCACGGAACCGCCAGTGCTGCCTTCTCTCTCAACGGGGAGCCCCTAAAGCACCTTCCCCGCCCAAGGAGCCCCCAACTCCTCCCCTCYACAGCACCCCCAACTCCTCGCTACCTGCCAGCCCCAGAACTGCCCCCCAGGTCACCCCACCTGGGGCCCACCCCCAAAAAACACCTCCTAGTCCCACACAGACCCTCCCAGAGCGCCCTCCTGCCCACAAGGAGCCCTCCAAGTGCCTGCCCTGCCCCACAGAGCCCCACACGGCTCCCGCAGCAGGGACATCCCAGCCGGGGCGCCCGCCCAGCAGCCCCCTCGGGAGCCCCCAGTCCCCACCAGCGCCCAGGACACCCCTCCAGCCCCACCAGCGCCACGAGGCCTCTGGTCTCCCCAGGAGAGAAACCGTCCCGGAGGGCCCCAGTCCCGGAGCGGCTCCCGCAAATCACCCCCTAATCCCAGGGGGCCCTCAAAGAGGCCCCTTCACAGAGACCCCCAAGTTTCACCCAGCCCCAGGGCGCCCCCCAAGCGCCCCCCGCACCTGCAGCCGCCGCCGCCGCCTCGTGCTGCGCACGCGCCAATCAGCCCCGGCGCTGTCGCCGCCTGGCGGCCGCGCCCGGAACTGCAGCCCCGCCCCCGCCCCCCGCGCCTCTTGAAGCCTCGGCCCGGCGCGCACCTGCCGCCGCTCAGCGCCGGGCGGGGCCGCGGGGGCGGGGCTCCGCCCGCACGCGCCAATCAGCGCCGGACGCGTCTCCCGCACGGCGCCAATCAGGAGGCGAGGCGGGAAGGGTTATGGTATTTAGAGTCCTCGTGCGCATGCGGTGGCCGTTGTGGCGGTTAGGTGCCCGTCGGGCTCAGCGGTTGTAACGGTTTTTTAAGATCGYGTTTGCTTTGCCTTGCGTTCGTGTTGTGTTTTTCTATTTTCTGAGTTTGTGTTCAATTAAAATTTTATCTTTTAGGTAATTTTAGGTGGAAATCTGAGGGTTTTTTTTTTTTTTGTGGGTTAGCAGGGGAGTAAGTTAATTACTCTTCTTAAGGAAGTCTCTTAAAAGTGCAGATTGCATTTTTTCYTTAAGCCTTTTCTTTAAGTAAACAAAATTTTATTCTTTTTGAAGAAGGACTTTTCTCAGGGTTARAATAAATGAGACTGCTGTTTTGCTTTTAGTTGTTGTCAGAGTTGAGTTGCTGTTGCTTCTGTCTTTGTGGGGCATCTTAGTTGTCTTTGTTATTTATTATAACATGCATGAGAGTAGTTATGAGAGCTATTGTGGACATGTTACAGCTAAAATCAAATTGTCTGGGGCAAAAATATATGATGTAGGGGAGGTACAACTTCAGTTTGTCTTACTTAATTGTCTAGTGTAGTTGATAAACGTTTCTAAAATGAGTGCTCCTTTTAAGTACTCAGGATCAGTAGGGAGGTGTCTGGCCTTTGTGTGTTTTTGATCTTTTAATCYAGACTTAAGTATAAAATTATTTTTTCTTGTAGTTATCCTTGAAAGCTATTCAATGCACCTGTGACAGTTGACAAGTTGACAAGTTATGGAGGCTTCTYTTTAGCTGTTGACTCCATCATATCCCAGAGCCCTTTTCTAAAGGGTGTGCTGACAGGAAGGTTTAGACTCTTGTTTTAGTTTTCCTGGTTCTGATGTTGTTTGTTGTAGATCTTCTCTATAGGTTTTTTCAAACAGTGAACTGAGTTTTATGCTCCAGATGAATGACTATTTTCTCCTTTTCTTGGTTACAGGACTTCAGAAGCTTAGATTTCTAGATTAATCTGCTAAGAGCTCTGCCAGGATGTTGAGAGTCCACCTGAGATTTAACTGCGTATGTAGGTAAGAACCTATTTGAGCCTCATGGTTTTTTTTGGAAAGGGTGGCCTGTTTAACTCTACCTTTTGATAGATTATTTTTCTCTTTTGAAATTCAWCTTTATTTCTTTGAATCCTGCAGTTCTGGGTTAGGGACGGTGAAGCAGTATCATGCCATGAGGTATTACAGTGGGTTTGCTGGTCTTCAGTRGTCACATGCTTGTAAACCAAAGTGTTCTACCAGTGAAGTCAGGTCTTGAGGCTCATGTAAATGATGTATTTTACAAAGTTAAGACTAGGTCAYTTAAGATATCTGGCAAGCCTCTGGGATGAATTTCCAGAGCATCTGCTTTGCTGGTAGTGTTTGGAACAGAAGTTCACTTCTTCAGATGTAGGAGTACTTATTATCTTGGCTATGTATGTATATTTTGCCTGTTTGCTCAGGAGTCATTCATGCTTACTTGACATGAAAGYAGTTCATGAAACCACCTGAGGCCTTACCAGTGGTAGTTTCTTCTTGATCTGGAAAGTGTCTGTGCTCCTTTTCACAGGCAGCAGTCAATGAGCATTTTTTGGTAATATCAGTGGTGTTAGGTGTTTAAACTCTATTTCAAATGATGAGAAACTGTTTGAGAACTGGAGATTCCTAGCACTAACATGGGATTTGTGCTTTTAGCTCATGTATGCTGTAGGCATGATCCTGGGCCCAGTGGTTTTTCTAATTTGAGCTGAGAAAACTAACTGTTGAGCCTTATATTGACTTGAACTCAACCCTTACTAAATCCTGTTCTTTTAGAACTTAGAGGAGCTCATGGCGCTTGAAGAGCAAGCTCTTTAATTAGTATCCCTAGAAGGAACTGAGCTTCCAGAAGGGCTGTATCTGCTAGAAACACTGCAAGCCTGCAGCTTARGGTGACTTCTGGAAGGAGGAACAAGGTGCACATTGCTGCTTCAGGSAGGGTGGGTTGAAGTTTCTGTGATGCACAAGGTCTCAGGAGCCAACCTTTCTTGGAGTTATGCTGGTTACTAAGCAGGTAAAACTGTAGGCATTTCCTCCCTTGTGRAGATGTGCGACTTGAGGGACAAGGTGCTGTTTGACTGTGGTACCCAATACAGTAGGTTTTTGCCAAATAACAAGCAGCAACAAGCTTGGGTTTGGGAGGTGGTTTGTGAGGAGCAAGTAGCAGGGGAACGAAAAGCTGCATGTAATAGACTTTGTACTCTGGGCGAAGGCATAAGGACGGGTGGTGTGTCTTCGAAGTCACACTGTACCATCTATTGCCGGTGGGTGTGAGTACATTGTCAGACTGCGGTACTACTGTTCTCCTGTCGCAATTCCAACAGAGACCACTAGATGTCCACAGAGAACAAAAAATTCTTTTCCAGGGTGAGGAGGAAAAGTGGCTAGGAAGCTGAGCAAACCGGACTGCAAAACCTTACTACTAGCATACCCCTTCTTGAGGAAGGGGTCATGAGACAAGGATGGTCCTCGGGCTTTGCTGTCAAGCTCACTGAACRATTGATGACAATGCTCACATGAGAAGGGCCCACTCAGCAGAGCGGGAGGGCAGAGAAGTTCTTGGCATAGTGCTCCTTGATGGAGGACTTGGTACTCCTTGTGTTGGGCTTGAAGTGTATGGATTATGGTTACTTAATATATATGCTTCAAGTAGGATCCATGTCTGTACTTTTTTGGATGATTGAAATCAGAAGGGTAGGTAATACACATTTTCATGTCAAATGGAGCTTTTACTTGCCACTGCTTATCATGGTATCTGAGATCATTGCCTGATRGTGAGATAGTCATCTGATATGATAACAGCCTTGGAAAACATCAAGGCCCCCTTTTACACTAATATTTGTAGGCTATTGGCTGAGTCATCCTGCTGTAGAGAAGCCTTGCCCCTTGTGTTGAAGTGCCCCTAGAATTCATCCACCTTAGAGGGAGTGGGTGTCTTGTGCTGTGTCTAGCTGTTGTGGAGTTGGCACGTGCAGCCCCTAACACCTTCCCCAGAGTCTGCAAGTCCCAAGGAGGTGGTAGGGACCTGTCTTCTGAGCGACAAGATGACCTGAAGAAAACACTACGGTTGCAAGTTGAATTTCTAGAGATCAGGATCAAGCTGAATAAACCACTGGAAAAGGCTCTTGATATATCTGTTGCACAGTATAAATATAGCCTTTTCTGAGTRGAAAGTCTTCATGGGATTATGCTCTAGTTATTTGCCTATAATCACATGGAAGTTTGCTTTCATAATAGAACCATGTTTTAAAATGTATTTGCATGYGATAGCCCTATTAGTCTCAGTGGGCTGGAAAATAACTTCTCTCAACTAGAATTTGACAGCACCTCATCTGTAGAATATTTCAGGTACAAAATAAGAATATGCAGCAGGCAGCAGTTATGAGTTGAGGGAATTTGTTGTTCCAGGCAAGTACAAATTACTTTGAAAGCTTTTCTAGTACTATAGCTCCTTTGTTTCTTTTTAYCCGGATAATGGATCAAATAGTGTTCCTGGTTACTGTATAGTCAAATCTTGTGTAGTTTTGGGATCAGTGTGGCTGTTTAAATGTGTCTAATCATGCTTCTGAAAAATCAAGGTAAASAAGTCCCTCAGTTGCTCATTATTGGGAACAGTGGGATCAAAATGAAATATTTAMCTGACAAAACTTCTGTAAGTACCAATAAAAAATAAAAGGGCCTCAAAGCCTGACAGATGAAACTTTTATACTTGGAGGTGCTACCTCYTTATGTGTTAAGCCTAGGAGTTTGCTTGGCTCTTCTGGTCCTGTGGCCTGTTCTGCAAAGGTTMTATCTGTGCTTTAGGTCCAAGGGTTTGCTGTTTTGGGGGAATGTTTGTTTGTTGCATGGTGTGAAATGTAGCAGCTTAGGTTTTGACCATATAAGATGTGTTACTGGAACTGAGTATTGAGAGCATCTTTGGTGTTGCTCTGTAAATGCCTCTGTCTCCAGTGTACAACATCAAGGCTATATACAAGTTTGTCCTTATTACTCTAACTTGTATAGCTAGTGCCATCAATATGGCAAGAGATGCCTCAGGTATAGCAACTGTTTTGTTTCAGTTAGTTTTAAATCCRAAGTGAATGGAATGTAATTCTTCATACCTACATCAGTGTCCTAGAAATCAGTTAATTCTTAGGACTGATGTGGCCATGAAGGGGTGGTGACTAAGCAGACCTTCATGATAAGAGTGTCTTTACCTTTGTAAGAATGAGGTGAAAATGTTTGTCAAGTGCCTTACTGGCAAGTGTTTTGTTTGTGGAGATAGCATATGATATTTATAGTGGTGTTTACTGAGCAATTAGAGCAAAGATTTGCTATATACCATTTATCTCCTTGGAATTCTGATCAGAACAGGGAGGTGTGAACTACATCTCAAGTAGCAAAGAGAACCTTAGGGGTGTTTGTATTTCAAGAACCTGAGCAATTGCTCATGACTTCTAACAGGGAAGTTTGATGCATCTATCCACACTGCTTTTAATCCTGAACCTTTAAGTGTACCTTTTGATTTCACATGTGTGACTGGATGCCTTAATCTGTCTTGTTCTACCATCATAAATGTTTGTTCCTTCCTAATGCTGCAGGTAGAATTGGTTTTTCATTATGGCTAGCAGCATGTCTTTCTTCACAGGTCCTGTGTGACTGCCAAAATACTTTGGACTTGAGGTAGAGTAGCAGGTCGGACCAAGATTGCATGTTTACTTTCATGTACTAATAGTTCATCTTTGGTCTGAGTTCTGTGCTYTTTCTGAAGGTAGTGAAGGCCTGAGTTTTTAGAGTTTTTGAAATAGAGAGATTTGCAAACAGTTATGCCTGGAGAAATGGGTAGTTTTTAGGTAACAAGGTCTGTAGTGTTGTGTGTAGCTGACGTATAAATCCAACCAGAATAAATGTAATTTCTTTACCAGTTAGGAAACAAGTACAAAGCTTTTGCTTTATTCAGGTATCTGTGTTGGTAAGTTGCCTTCTAGTCGGTTGTGTGAGTAGGTTCTGAGAGAATATCACTTCCATGGSCTCAAAAGCACAGGTAGTCACCTGATTGAATTTTCTTCCATGGATAGAAACTGAGTACTTTTTCTTGTTATACAGGTACAAATAGTGTTCTTGACTGGAAAAATCCCTGGGACTTGCAAACGGAGGACCTGTGTGCATGTGCATAGCCATCTTCAGACTTCAAATCACTTGTGTCTCCATGTAAGTGTTTTCATACACACTGCAAGGTTCTTATCTTTGTGCAGGTAAATAGGTTTAAGTTTTCAGCACATCTTAAACACATCTCCAGACTTAATGYGTTGTGTTTGTAAGTGTTGAAGGTTTTGCTGGATGGAAGTTGAGACCATAAAGAGGGGCAGGGGATGAAGAGCATCTCTCRGGCATGAAGAAGTACTTGAAGAGGTTAAATGTCATTATGGAGGCCTGAGTAGAGGTTTATGTTAGATGTATCAAAATATTAAGAGGCTTGTAACCCTTTGAGTCTCTTCAAAAGAATACTTTTTTCTCATTCCTGTGTTCTGACTGTTGRAAATAAAATGTAGGTGCTATTAATGACACTAGGGTTTGATCCTCTTATCAAGATAGTGACAAAAGGCCTCAATGGCTGTGAGCCTCTAAAATAGGGAGAACCCAGTGAAAGGTTTGAGTGACCTATTAAAATGGCAGTTAACTTGGATATGTTTAGGYTTTGAATGGAGCTCGCTGGCATCCGGATTGTTCTAATGCATGACTTASTTTGATACTGCAGTGAAGGAATGGTTTAAAGCCTTGCGATATGCACCTGTAGCATTACCTGCTCAGCCATGTGAATAAGAGATACTGCCTCAAGGTGTGTCACAGGAGTGATACCAGAGTACCTTTAAGCACARTTGAATCTGTAGAACTTGGAGATGTGTGTTAGGTTGAGCCAGCCAGTAGTGTCTTGTTCCTAGCCTCTCGGCTTTCCAATGCTTCCAACTGGTAAATGAGGCTTGAGGGCTGTGCACAGCACGGTACAGGTTCTTGTCTTAGTGTGTTTGTAGAGAAAGTATAGCCTTAGGGCTGGTAGTTCTGAATCTTAATGYTCAGAGGGTTTTTGCCCTCTAGATATTTTTACAAAGTGTTTAACAGGACTGCTGTGCTGAGATGAACTTAGGATCTGAGCTGCCATCACATCTGACTTGGGTTTTAGCTTTTGGGATGGCCATATATTCAGTCTTGCTTCTTTAGGCGTACCTGGAAATGTTTGCTTGTATTATGCCTAGTGAAGAAATCTTGCGTTAGGACAGTTGAAGATATTGTGGAATCATGGAACTGTAGTGAGATCGTGGGWAGATACCACCAGACTTGAGTTGAGATTGCTCTTTATTTCCCTGTTAGATAATGGTGCTCTGTAGTGGCAGTAGAGCAATTGCTTAGTAAGGTCACCTGCCAGCTACCTTTTGACTTGCTCTTTTAAGCTGCCTGAGTTTGTTTTTTGTAAAAGGTCCTTTACTTACAGCTATGTGCAAGCTAACAAGAGGCAATAACAGATTGAAGTCTTGACCTGAAACTTGTTTAATCTTAACACAGAGGATGGAACTTTGCAGTGCATTTGAATAGCTTGTATGCTTACTTGGTTTAATAACTTTCCACAAGAAGTTTCCAGGCTATCTTGGCGCTTTGTCTCATAGTGCTTTTCACAAGAGTATTATTCTGTACTATTACGTAGCTCCTACTGGATGACAAGTACCCTTATTTTTAGCTATAAGGTCATGATTCCATTAGTCTGTTGTAGGTTAATTGAAGTGATGATTTCTAGGAAATGGTCTGTGGTATTTCAAAGACTCATTGAGTTATTGGTACAACTTAGTCTAATTTGCTGGATTTGTGGGTGTGCTTAATGTACTTGTTGGTCTGAATTTAAGGAAAGAAACCTAGGTTGACGTTAGTTTCCTTGTGAAATATTACCAGGTTTGACCTGAGACATAATTCATTAACTCTTGGAGATAACAGGTTGCACAAAACTAAATTTGTGCTGTGCATCCTATCCTGTAGTTCAGAAAACAATTTTGCCAAGTTAGTTGTATAGCACGAATCTTTCAGGCAAGTTACCACAAACAGCCTTACTTCTTTGAGAAGTCAACTTTCTAGATTTAGTTCTTAGCAGGAATGAAAACCTTAGGAAAGGATATCAGCAGCCATCAGCAACACAAAGAAMAACTGCTGTTGTACCTTGGCTTCCTTGTCATTTACTAGGGTTTTGTAACATGCAGAAAAGCTGTTTTTCTGATATATACTATCTGAAAAAATGCCTAGAGAAGAGCAGGTAGGAAGGCAGGTTTTGATATCTACCCATTTATTCTGATAAACCCTAGCAGGATTAGACCCTTAAGTATAAGGAAGGTTCCTCTTTGGCTTGTTTTTTTTTTTTTTGCTTGCATTTGGTTTAGGTCAGGAGGGAGACTTCAGGTAAAAATCTGGGTAAAAGCAGCTGTTGTAGCTGCAGCAGTGACAGGCAGCAGAGAATGTATATTTGGATCTATTTATTACCATCCTAGTGAGTTTTTGGTAACATGAAACAATCATCTGTCAAGTTTACTGTTGTTGCTTAAGGATGACTTTCTTGGAAATAATTACCTGTAAATATTTTTGCCTTAYTTGGTGCATTAGTAGCAGGGAATGTCTTCCATAGCTATTAATGTTGCCTTGCTGAGTAGACTGGTGTGGAAGAATGGAAGTAAATATGATCAAGGATCAACATGCTACCATGTGGTGCCTGCCTGTCCTCTCCAGCAGGATGTTTTAATATCATCAGTTGGGGATGCTCATGAGAAGTTGTTCAGTGTTGATATTTGGACTACCTGCAAGACAGTGTGTGGGCTGGAGCTGGTGGTAAGGTACTGAAGGAATTGGCTCTGGTAGGATGACAGTATGTGGCTGTTCCAAGTCAAACTTGGAAGACTGTAGATAGCTGTGACTTACAGTTGGAGATGAAACTCTTGATATTAATGACTGTTGTKGTTTTGTACTTGGACTTTTAACAGGAGTCTGCTGCTTTCTCTGGTGTTGCTGCACACCTGAAGCCATGGACTTGGTCTCYGCTATGATCTCCAATCTGTATGGACTTACTTGCTGTCTGTGTAGAAGTTCTCACYGGAGATGGAATGCAGTGCTCTGGTATTACYGYCTCGAGGTGAGGAGCAACTTCTTTACTGTTAGGGTGACAGAGCAGTGGAACAGGCTGCCCAGGGAGGTTCTGGAGTCTCCTTCTGTGGAGGTCTTCAAAACCTGCATGGATRTYGCCCTGTGCTACATGCTATAGGTGTGCCTGCTTGAGCAGGAAGGTGGGACTAGAGGATCTCTAAAGGTCCCTTCCAACCTTGAATATTCTGTGATTAGTGCTGGCTAATGGCTTCTCTGTACCCTGGGAGGACTCAGACCTAGTTCTTTGTTCCCTGTTCCTTAACCCTGGCCAGACTTGACTCTCAGGTTCCAGATGCCACTTGTGTGGTCCCAGTTCAGTGAACCTCATGTTCTACAGGGAATCTTTCAGTTGTCACATTTGACTATTTGTCAAATTGAGTTGTTTGCTGTATCTTATRTATTAAAAGCAGTGACTTGTTGATTCTGGTGACTTCACATGATTGCACAGCAAATAAGTTGTTTTGCTGASGATGTTTTCATCAGAAATAGCTTTACATCATAAGCAGCCCCACTGAAATAATTGTATTAAGAGGGCAGCTGGAAAAACATCTGTTACATAAGCTTTTTCCCCTCTTAATTTGCTGTTTGATTTGCATAAGATGAGTGAAAGGATGTATTTTTCTAGTCTAGGTAGAATATCATCAAGGCTGTTATACAGCAGTAAGGTAGCAGTGATCAGATGCTGAGCTGACTTGTGGCTTGTTCGTGTGTCTCCTTAGCTTTGTGTGGGAAGGAAAGACTGGGATTGGATGAGGACAAAGGAAGAGCATGTAAGGATAGAAACATTATGCTTATCAGTGGCTGCTGTGACCTARAGTTATTTGTGCTGCTTGTTGATAATGCTATTTTTGCATTATACTGAAGGCTTAATTTGAAACAGCAAGGCGTGTGAATAACCCTCTCCTGGCTTATCTTCATGGAACTCAGTGAAGCTTTTCACAGAATTCAAATTATTTGCAAGACTTTAGGTTTTCTGACTTTTTTGTGTTCTTTTTCAGTAAAAATTGTATGTTGAGGTGACAATACAGGATCATCCCTAAATGTTAGGTCCCAGCTTTGCATATGACCCACACAAGATAAAGTAGATTAAGGGWAGGAGCATTATGTGTTGTACTATGTGAGATATTAGAAATTTGAAGGCTGTGAATGRACAGGATGACTACTTAGAAACTTTTTGTCTCTGTAAGAAGAAAGTTAAAATGTTTTCATTATTTCCTTCATGGTGTGATATCTGAATATGGTGTAGTAAAAATCTTGTACCTATTGAGTGTCTGTTGTGATTAATATTCTCCTTAGTCTATGCATATTGGATCCAGCCTCTCCTCGGGGTTAAAATCTACTTGAGCCTAATATCTGCTTTGATTGTAACTCCGTGATGAAAGGGTCCTATGAGAGATGAGAACCAAGTGCAGCAAACAGTGGACATGCTTAYAGCTAAAGAGTGCAAATAGCCACCTTGGATCAGGTGGGTGTATTGTGCACTCTGCCTCCATGTTATCAGCATGGCCAGAAGTAGTACAGTGCTCCTGTTACCCTGCTAAGTGCTGAGACTGATGTGCRCAGTTGTAACCAACTGAACAGAAAGACAACACTAGTGTTTTGAAGGATGAAGAGCAATTACACATCGGGGGATTTTTGGTATGTTCGGCTTGTGGAGTTTGATGTTGGTTATTTTGGACCAACGTAGGTCCCTGGGATTTGAGCAGTGTTTACACCCTATTTTTGGGTGTTCCTTTTTCCAGTAGGTTTTGTTGAAATTCTCTTGTTAAGCACTTTGACATACTGCTTAACAGTTACTTGGTAATAAGCAAAATGGGAAAGGATTGATTCATGAACAAGATGGAGCTTAAGAAAACAGGTAGTTAAAATCTGGCTGAAGATGCAATGTTCAAATTTCATGTGTACAACTAGAAGTTGTACACATCCTACATAACCTTCTGACAGATGGCATGACTTGAGTATGATCTGTTTTGGTCTCAATACTATTCAAGTTCTGGAGAAATCATTTTCATCAAAGTGAGACTTCTRTTAGACATGGTGTGTTGCACATTAGCTGTTTAGAAATAAAAGGACAGAGTTGGCTGCTGTCTTGTAAATTTTGTARATGTTAGCTTAATTTAGTATAGCTTCATTGACCTAAGTGGATGATCAGTCTTAAAATAGATTTGTTGGGACTTCTCAACCCCTATGCATAGGTTTGTCTTCCTTTACCATCTCACTCTGACCYACTTGCATTTTAAGTTTTCCTTCTGTGTGTACTTTTCCATTCATTATATCCAACTGAAACTGGAAAAAAATGAATAAGTATAAAGCTAGTAATACAATACATTTTGTTCCAAATGATTGCCTGGAAGCAATTTTAAGACATCAGAAAAGGCAGCTGCAGAAGAAACTTTTTGGTGACATTGCAGAGTAATAGCATCAGCGCCTCCCTGTTCTTAGCATTTGGATAGAGGCTGCATACTTACAGATGAAAGATTCATAGCAACCATTTGCCTTGCAGTGTGCATAACATGTCTTCGTGTCTAGAGGATGACTCCAAATCTTTGAGGCCTTTTGAACTTTGATACATATTGTACATAAGAAAATAGGAGTTCCTTTACTATGTTTAATACATTAAGAAGCAGTTGTCATTGTTACCATGGATGTTTTTTGCCTGTATAACAGAAGGCATTCTTCTACTGGTATTCTTTGTCTGTATAATAGCAGGCATTTTTGTGTGGAATTATCATCTGTTTTGGCAGCAGTCTATTGGTATTTATACATACATTTTGTTAAAGCTCTGCTTAACTGGACACTGTAGCAATTGAAGCTCTTTGCACAATGACCTGTTCTGTAGTACTGCAGACCTCTTCTACCTCRATGTGCTTTGTGCTGTTTATATCAGTTTTGCAGAATGAATCTTCATTTTGGTTTCTTGGTAGTTCTTTGGGCTGAATTCAGCAAAGTAGTTGGTCAGGAGTTAAGACTTTTTCTGAAGTGAGTGATTGCATCAAGCTACCATTTGCTACAATACCTGTTCTGAACCAGGTCAAGTGTCTGCAGTTGGCAAATGACCTTACTGGTTCTGAGACTCCTCTTTTGCTGCTGGTTGTAAAYTCAGTGTGCCCATCTCCCTTAAATGTCCACTAGCAGCAGGTAAACTCTACTGATGCCTCATTGAATCTGCCCTGTCTTCTAGCTGGACTCTTCTGAAGGCAAGACCCAGTGGTTTGAAACTTCACATTGTCCCTGCTACTGATTAAATGATGATTTTGATGCGAATATGGATCACAAGACAGTAAGGAAGGGTAACAGATGGGGTTAGATTTCTTGTTCAATGGAGGTGAGTCTTTCAAGGCCTTCAAGCAGATAGGCTTCTAGACTGTTAAGGTTGCTACTCTTTATCTGGTGAGGATCACTCAAGAACTATCTAATGTGTGCAGATTGGAGCAGTTGTATTAGTTGACTTGAGTTTCTATCTGAGAAATGGAATTTGGGCTGGCGTCAGCTTAGATTGGTGATCAAAGGAASAAGTGCTCACTGTGTCGCTAATGTCATTACCTGCCAAGCAGCTAATTTATAAGGCTAATGCCGTACAGGACCCAGGGGTCTGGTCAGTGTTCAGTTTAAATCTGACAGTGCAGTTAGATTCCTGGGTGGGAGGTATTAAGTGTTTCAATTTTCCGGGTAGGACTTAAGTTCTTTGTGGAAGAGTCTCTTTACTTTTGATTAATGCATGGGCCCCAGAGCAGCAAAGCTGGGAATGCTTTAGGATTTTTATAACTAAGGGCTTGTGTCTTACTGGAGTAGCTGTATCCCTCACTGGGTGAGGCTGTAGGTATGTGAATGTTGATGTGGCAGTGCTTATCATGGATTGGTAGGACTGATACARCCCAATGCCTGAAATGGACTTGAGTGTTTTTCCTGGCAAAGCCTCTTCATTTACAGGGTAAGAATCACAATGAAATGAGAAGAGCTTTCATCACTCATAGCTTTCAGTGCTAGTGGAGAAGGCTGCCTCCAGAGAAGCAATAAGCACAGTTGTTATCCAGCTACTTTGTGTGGGTGGTTCTCAGATGAATGACTTGGTGGGGGGTCATAATGAGTATGTATTCCAGTCAGGTGAGGCCTGCCTTTGATGAACCAGCTGCTGATTGCTGTGCCTGCTGGTTTGGAAAAAGCTGCTGAGCAGCTGCTGCAGAGAGGTCCTCAATGGCCTCATGGTTTCACATAGCAGCAGCCAGGTGAGCCGAAGCACTTCTGTCACAGGTTGCAGAGGGGATCTCCTGAGGTGAAAGCACAGAGGAGGAGCAGGGATGGGGAATAGTAGCTGAGGCTGGAAAGCCAATGTGTGACATCTCAAATACTCAGTTGTAAGCATTGGTGGAAGCTGCAAAAGTGAATAATAAAGCTTGCAAAGCCCTGGAAATTAGTAGATTTGAGGTATAATCTTAACAGAAGAAAAATTCAATAAGGTTTGAGCAAAATGAGAGAGTAGTCCTTCTGAAAGTATGGAATTACATGTTTTGCCCAGATATTGTGGAGAAATGTTGACAGTTGRGAGTGTTAGTTGGGGATCAGTCTAGGCTGATCATTCTCTTAAATATATTTAAGTGCATGCTTGTATCAAACAGGAACAGAAAAACATGTTGTTCATTTCAAATAAGAGAATATTACCGATTGCTTATGCTAAATTACTCTGGCCATTATSAGCAATAGACTAAGTACTGCAGCACAACTGATTTGGCTTAGAGAAGTTAAGATGATGGTCTAGATAATTCTGTGTCAGGATAAAGGATGTCTATTTGGACTGTTTGCATCTTCCTATTTATCATTTCCTGTATAGCTTAACTTGGCTCAGATTAAAGAAGCAGGTTTTGACAATCAATTCCTTGGTTCATGTTTCTCCATCTAAATTCAGAGTTKACAAGGTCAAGTGATGAAAAACCTGCATGCCCTATTCCTGCCCACAGATGAATTGGTTGAACAAACTCTTGAGCAATATTATTCACAAGAAGGATCCACCTCCTGCTTGTACTAAGTTACAGCAGCCGTGTTGTGAAAGACAACCAAACAGTTGGTCTTGGGCAGTTGACTCGGCGTGTAAGTGCATTTGGAGTTAATGGCCATGGTCAGCTCACCTAAAAATAGGARTGCAGGCTTAAGAATTTCAATGGAGCATTGTGAATAGAATGCAAGCTTGAATCCCCATCAACAAGGTATCAGCAACATCTGTGTGCTTTTTTTAGTTTTTTATATAGCATGTATGGCCAATAGTACARATGAATTTGTCAAACTTGATGTTGTTCATAATCTTCTTCACTCTGGGAAAAAGTAGTATAGCTTATGTTAGCCATGTATTTCTGCTRTCTTGCATAAGTTCATATTGTGCCCTTGGTGTTATAAACATTTCTCCATATTAACATGACCTTTCAAGAACAAGTCATGATAGCCTATGTGACAGGATGCAGCTTAGGTTATAGGTTGGAGCCAAGGTSATGTCTTTAACTTGGAATGTTCTCAAACAGGTGTGCTAATATCTTGCTCCTTCCAATTATCATGCAGGGCATATGCAAGTAGGTAAGGACTAGGGAAGTCCTCTAAGTAATAAGAATGCCTAAAGGAGTGAAACATRAATACTAAACCTCTGGTTGCTGTGTTTGAGGAACTTGGTCTTAAAATTTGAGGTTGTAATGGGGGAAAGAACAGAAGGTGAGCAAGGAAGAGAATGACTGCAGTGAAAGGAAAAGATGATGTGTGGAGATAAGGCACTAATAATAATTAGCAGCTCAACTGAGGAAATCATCAGTCAATCCTGGGTTGTCTTCTGACACTGCTCTTGTGGTTGGTTGTGTTGGTGTTGTTTTTATTGCACCACCCCTCCTGCAAAGGGTGGGGAAGGGGAACAAGAGTTTGTCATTKGCTGTTTGATGGATATRCTCCTTTACCAGCTCAACCTGACCTGTACCTTACATGCAGTTCAGTTGCTAACCACCAGTGACTTACTAAATCCTGGTAGGTGCCACCATTCTGATTTCTTCTCCCACTTAGACTCAACATAACAGTCCTGAAAGGGGAGTTGAGGCTAATACACTAGCTAATGGTTCTCTGAAATGAAAGAATGGCTATAAGTCAATCATCTTATCTTATAAATACATGGATAGCCCCAGAGCCCCTTGAGCTCTCCTGGCAAGGAAGCAGGCTTGCACATGGGGATCTCCCCTYGAACAGGGATGCCTCTCAAAGTTACTCCTTG